CAAGGGATCATGACTCAGGACAAAGTTCTTTGTTTTCTCTGAAAACACCAAGCAAGGCTAAATGATCCCAGCTTTCCAACCCTGTCACCTACCTGTCTCTTCTCTCTTTCCTTTCTCACTCTACCCAGCTAAGCAAGAAACTTCCAAAGATGTAATAATGCTCCCATGCCTATCACACCAGAAGAACAGTGACAGAAAAATTTTGGCCCCAACAGTAGAGGCTCCAATGATCGTAGGAGCCCACCTAGGGAGACTTGTCCCAGGAAGTTCAAATGACCTTAAGATCAAGGAGGATGCTGGGTAAAGAGGCAAAGTCATCGGTGTCCCTGTCAAACCAACTACAATGTGACCTGATTATGTAGTCAGATAATAATTGACAGGAAATCCAGCATTTGGTTTACCTGTTAGCTCGCTAGCACCAAAACACATCTGATTACTATAATTGGCTCATTCTGGTTACCTTTGGCCACAGAAATTCACAGAAAGAGCTCAGATATTCCACACTGGCTCACAATTTGGGGGTTCTCCTTTGAAGAGACAAAGGAAATTTTGCTGGCTAAAATCATAGTTCAGGAATGAACTAATCAGATGGGCTGTGGCCCTTTTGCAGATGACTCTACTATTCTAGTCTGAGGAATGTTTTCTCTATCAAAAAAAAAAAAAGCTGGGCCTGGTGGCTTATGCCTGTAATCCCAGCACTTTGGGAGGCTGAGGTGAGAGGATTGCCTGAACCCAGGGGTCTGAGACCAGGGGTCTGAGGTGAGAGGATTGCCTGAACCCAGGGGTCTGGGTAACATTTCTACAATAAATAAAAAAATCAGCTGGGTGTGGTGACTTGGGTCTGTAGTTCCAGCTACTTGGAAGGCTGAGATGGAAGGATTGCCTGAGCCCAGGAGGTCGAGGCTGCGGTGGCTGTGAGCATGCCACTGCACTCCAGCTTGGGCGACAGAGTGAGACTCCAACTCAAAAGAAACAAAAAAACTTAAACCTTGCAACTGTGTGAGCTAATGGTTTTAGCCATGGGTTTAGTCTAAAAATAACATGGTCACAAATAAGCTGGAACAACTCTGTCTAACACAGCCTGCTTTTAGGAGAGCCACCAAAGCACAGGACAATGAAGAAGACTCCAACTGTGCAGTAAAAACAACCTGTTTAACTTTGTAGGACCTAGTGTTGTTTTTTTTCTTTCCTCACAACACCTATTGAAATTCCTTGTAACTTGTAAGCTACTGAATACATGGAGGTAGCACTGCTCTAAACAGCTTAGAGATTGAGGCAGAGTATAGAGGGATTACTATTTTCATTTTACAGAGGAGGTAACTAAGACTTCAGAAAATCAACTTGGCTGGGAATGGTGGCTCATGCCTATAATCCCAGCACTTTGGGAGGCCGAGGCAAGAGAATTGCTTGAGTCTAGGAGTTGGAGCAGCCTAGACAACATAGCAAGACCTCATCTCTTCTTAAAATAATTAATTAATGAACTAATCAATTTTAAAAAGTCAACTTGTCCAGAGTCACACAACTTCTAAGTAACAGAACCATTCATGAATTTCATAATCATTGCTTATTGTTTAACATATGTTAAGCACTGCACTAAGTGTGAGGCTGACATTTCTTTGCTTTCTTTTTTTGACTCAGAGTTTCACTCTGTCACTCAGGCTGAGTGCAGTGGCATGATTATGGCCACCACAGCCTTGGCCTGCTGGGCTCAGGCAATCCTTCCACTTCAGCCTTCCAAGTACCTAGAACTACAGTCATGAGTCACCACGCCTGGCTATTTTTTCTTTTTTTTTTTTTGTAGAGATGAAGCTTGGCCAAGTTGCCCAGGCTGGTCTTAAACCTCTGGCTCAGGCAATCCTCTCTTGCCTCAGCTTCCCAAAGTGCTGGGATTACAGGCGTGAGCCACCACACCTGGCCCAAAGTTGTTATTTCTAGAATCCTAGACTATCAAAACTAATAGGTACATAAGAGACCATGTGATGTAAGCCCCCCATTTTCAGAAGAAGAAAGGGAGTTTCAGAAAAGGTAAACAACTCCCGGAGGCTCCACAAATAAAGGGGTGGAACTGGAATTTCAAGCCAGGGCTTTTGTCACAGCCTGTGCTTTCTATAGTACCCCTTTTGCCTTCAGATAGACTCCAGAACAGAAACTCTAACATGTTTGGAAATCTTTCCAAGACCTTTTATTTTTCACCTCAAATGGTTCTTGGTTCGAATCCAGAACTAGCAATAACCCAGATGAGGATAGCGTTGTCTCTGCTCAAAAAATATCGAGGGACATTTGCATTTTTAATCATTACCAGGTATATTTAACAAATTGAAAGACACTCAGCTCTTATTTCTATGAGCAAACTCGGTACTTTTTCTGTGAACTAGAAACTATACATTTCCAAAACTGAATGTACACTTGTGGAGTACATTTCTTGGTCTAATGTTCTGGGTGACTGTGAATACTTTCATTTTTGGAAGTTCGTGTTGGAACATGAACTTTTATGAGCCTCAAGTTTCCCTGCAGGGAAGAGGTTCTTTCTCTCTTGTTTATGGAACTGATGAATGATATGGGTGATCTGTCCCAGACAAAATGGCATGCTAAGACACAGTGTCATCTACCATCCTGGGGTTCTCCGACTCCTTTAAAACCTCTGCCTCAGAATATGACACTGCAGTCTACTCTATCTGCTCACTGCAACTCTGCTAAGACACAGTGTTGCCCACCACTCCGGTGGCTCTCAGACTCCCTTAAGCTCGCTGTCCTAGAATATGACCCTGCACTATGACTCTGTGTATCTGCTCGCTGCAACTCTTGATTTGGTGTCTATACAGCTTTGCTTCGGGGACTGCAATCATGAAATTAGGAATAGGCAGAAACAGGGTCCTAGGTATACCCGCTCTGCCTCTAGATACGCTCACAAAATATAAAACCTAATGTGTTTGGAAATCTTTCCAAGATATTTTAACTTTCCCCCCAACTAGTGAAAAACAAATTGAGCAAAGAGTAATTAAAATTTATAATTTTCCATGCAGGCACAGTGTCTCACACCTGTAATTCCAGCACTTTGGGAGGCTGAAGCGAGAGGATTGCCTGAGCCTACAGGTTCAAGGCCAGCCTGGGCAATTTGGCGAGACCTCATCTCTACAATAAATTTAAAAATTAGCTGGGGGCTGTAGTGCACGCCTGTAGTTCCAGCTACTTGGAAGCCTGAGGTGGAGGGATTGCCTGAGTCCAGCAGGTCGAGGCTGTAGTGGCCATGACTGTGCCACTGCACTCCAGCCTGGGAGACAGAGTGAGACTCCGACTCAAAAAATAATAATAAAAAATAAAATAAAATGAAGTTTATAATTTCCCCCCAAACAGTTATAATGATTGTAATATCAACTCAGAGCAATAGCAAACACAAATCCCTAAAATTTAGATTTATATAATTTAGCTGTGGTTTATTGAATCATACTTAAATGAATGTAAAGTGGTGCACATCTTTTATTTTTTTTGTCTTCCAGCTCTCCCAAGACTTACCAAAAGGGAATGCAGGGGGAATTTAAGGAGAAGCATAAAGAGAAACAAAAGAAAATCTTCATTAGAGTGAAAATCTGGAATTACTATAAACTTGAGAGTGGAATCTCCATTCCTTTTCCCCTGTTTGGGATCATTCAGATTGCTTGATTCCCAAAACCAGGCAGGTGTGGACTGACCTTTTCATTACTTGGTACTGGTCACCTCCAGCCGCAGCCTTCCTACTCACCTTTTCAAATAACCTCTAGTGAAAACCTCTTAAACACCACCAAGAAGGAAAGACAAGGAAGTCAGGAAGGATACACATAGAACATCACTTTTAAAAAACTAATGTTTTCAATCAAGTTGAGTTAGAAAATCAATTGCCGAAGAAGGCAAAGAAAACATGAAACAAAAGTCACTCTATATATGGAAAGCAACTCGGTGAGCATGTATGGTATTTACAAAAGTTCCAGAAGAGCATGCTGCATTCCACAAGAGCACATTATCATTTGGACATTCCAGGACATTCCGGTTAGACATGGATTTGGGTCAAAACCAATACTATAGCAAGTAAGAAATATTTATTTATTTATTTATTTATTATTATTTTTTTTTGAGTTGGAGTCTCACTCTGTCGCCCAGACTGGAGTGCAGTGGCCGCTCCCGGCCACCGCAGCCTCGACCTGCTGGGCTCCGGCGATCCTTCCGCCTCAGCCTTCCAAGTAGCGGGAATTACAGGCATGAGCTACCATGCCTGGCTGATTTTTTGATTTATTGTAGAGATGAGGTCTCGCTGCCCAGGCGGGTCTCGAACCCGCGGGCTCAGGCAATCCACTCACCTCAGCCTCCCAAAGGCGCGGGATTACAGGCTGAGCCACCGAGCCTGGCTAGAAAAATTTATAGGCAATAAATTATCATGGATCTTATCATACCAGCTAGCCAGACTGAGCACAACCTGTGCCAAACCAACTCTGAAAGAGAAGGGAAGTTGCACTTTCTTTGCCTCAGTCTACAAATGGGGGAGTCTGGTTGGTTAAGCCCTCCCCCCAACCCCAACATGGGTCTTGGTATCTGTTCTCAAAATTCCTCCGTCAGCTGGAGCTCTTGGGAAGAGGAGTTGACCCAGCTGGGACCGTCACCAATTTTCTTCCAGGTCTCAACATATTAATAGTCAAGGCTTCACAGACAAATGCTGAAGACAGATTTTTGTTTGTTTGTTTGCCTGTGTCTTGCTGTCACCTAGGCTAGAATGCTGAGATCATAGCTTACTGAAGCCTGGCACTCCTGAGCTCAAATGATCCTCCCCACTCAACCTCCTAAGTAGCTAGGACTACAGGTGCATGCCACCATGCCCAGCTAATTTTGATTTTTGTAGAGATGGGGTCTTACTGTGTTGCTCAGGCTCATCTCAAACAATCCTCCTGCCTTGGCTTCTCAACGTGCTAGGTTTACAGGTGTGAACCACCACACCCAGCCTCTGCAGGTAGATTCTTACAGTAGGTACATACCTGTGGCAGTTTGATATCATTGATATCCCAGTTTAATATCTCTTTGTCTTCAGAACTGAAGTCGTTGGGTTCCATGACGAGATCAGGCACCCAAGGTTTTTGTCTATTCAATTCCACTCAGAAGAGCTTGAGAGTTTTGTTCTCGAATGTTCTTGATAAAGCCAGGTCAGTCCACTCAAGCGCCTTAGACCAGAAGACTGTTTTCTGAAGTTAAAAAATAAATATTATTAATATTGACCATTAAAGAGATAAAAATCAGTGCTTATCTGCCAGAAAGACCCACGTCACTGACATTTTTGCAAGTAGCAACGTACTAATAAAAAACAAAACATAGAAATCATTAGCAATCTTGCTGAAATAAAGTTTGGCCATCGGGGAACAACAGCACGTGATCATTGCCTTCCCTGCTGGATTAGACTTGTTTTCTCATTGCGAGATCCAAGTTATGAAGACCTGTGTAGGGACCTTTGTCATTCATAAGCAATGCTTAGGACTTTTTACTCCATTCCTGTGTCAGACAAGGGGACAGCCGGCTTGGAGCGGTTTCCATAGAAATGCCTTCATAAATTAGCTAATGTGTGGTTGAAGTTACAAGAGGGTAACATCACATTGGATTTATCTAGATGTATTTTTTTTCCCCTAAATTGCCATAGGGACCAAAACTAGTAAATCTTCAATGTTCTTGATATAGCCAGGTCAGTCCACTGAAGCACCTTAGACCAGAGGACTGTTTTCTGAAGTTAAAAAATAAAGGTTAGCCGGGCTCGGTGGCTCAGCCTGTAATCCTGCGCCTTTGGGAGGCTGAGGTGAGCGGATTGCTGGAGCCCGCGGGTTCGAGACCCGCCTGG